ACTTCATAAATCAGCTCCTTCATTATTTAGCTGTGTCCACCGTATCTCTATGAATGTTATATATTACACCATAAAGGCTGGTACCCTGCTGCACTCAAGCTGTTGTTTTATAGCAAATCCCAACACGGCACAGGGTAGCTGAAGAGATGGTGCTTGTCAAAATCTGTTCTGTTGTATCAGTCTGCTGCTTATGGGAGCTGTTTTCGGGACTGAATGAATATTTATTATGAGAATGTAACCTATTAGTTCACTAAACACAAGCGATGAGAGGAAATGTAAATAGACACTTTATAACTTAATCAGTTAGACATTATCCCCATGGTTATTTATTGAGAGATTGTGTTCACTCCTTGTTTTTATGTTTATATTTCTTGTTTGTTCAGAAATCCTGTTCTCCTGTGTTTGTATGTGTTTTTTTTCCTTTAAGTGAACCTGTGTCCAGATCATACACAATAAAGTGTTTACATATGCTGAACAAACAGTAACAGCACTTTAAAACAAGCCCTCATTTATCTCCATATTTGTAAGCATTGTGACATTATTTTTAAGGTTCATAAACAGTTAGGATTCGTTTACAACTACGGCAGTCTCTGAAAAGCGATCCACCACAGTATAGGAGAAGCTGATGGGTATTTAAAAGTCGATACTGCTGCCTTCTGAATGCCTGTTTAGTTTTTTATTTTTTACAGGTGGACAGGATTTTTAAATAGGAATGGGGCAGGTGCAGCGAAGCCCCTTTCACTTGAATGTGGGGTATTTTTTTTTGTGGCTGCAAAGCATCAAGGCTGCAGTATGTGTACAACTTTATCAGGCTGACATGTTATTTTAAGATGGGAAGTTGGGGAGAAGTAAAACCACAGCTCTACCCACTATTTTACACCCTGCGACTCCTAGGGTAAACAAACTCTTATTGAAATCTTCCTCTTTTCTTATTAAGGCTCATTCACTTGAGAGCAGAGACCCATACATCATAAAAAATGAGCATAACTCTATGCCCAGGAATGACAGGTGTTTGTGTATAGCCACCTGTAAAAATCGATGACAGGCTGCGGCTGTAAGCTTGTAACTGCACATCCAAGCACTTGCTTTAGTATAGGGAGAGGTGAGCAACCATGGACACAAAATGTTCGCTTGTAAATGCTCAGATGTGTGGCTACCAGAGTATAGCTTCAGCTTGTCTTTGATTTGTACTGGTGGTTAATGCAAATACCTGTCACTTCTGGGCACAGAGATGCCTTGTTTTTCATAGTATATGGCTTGCAGAGCCAGTGTGAATGAGCCCTTGCCTTCTCTTGCATCCAAATCTTGGCAGGCAATGTAAACAAACAGCAGTGGTTTCTTTAGATTGGGGGTCAGTGACCTGTAAATCGTGATCTACCAATAGATTGTGGCCAAGTGACTGGTAGATCACAATCTGGGCTTGCTGTGCAAGTGCTTTGCAACCTTGTGCAGTACAACAAACAAGGGCTAAAGCAGGCTGTGTTTTGTTCCTTTCTCACAACCTGCCTTAACCCCTTAGAACCCACATAAGCATGCAGTTTTGGGGCGCTTTTAGAGTGGCCCCATTTACTTGAATGGGTCATGATTTGCAGGCGGTAGAACCCACCAAAAGAAACAGGGGGTTTAATTCCTGCTGCAGCATGTGTACACTTCAGCAGCTAAAGGGGATAGGGTAAAAGTCAAGAAAATAACCAATAATATCCAAGCGCAGTCACTTGTATATCATACAACCATGAATTATATGAAATCCTATGTACCACTGCCCACACTTGTGTTCCCACAAGATCAAGAATATAAATACATATACTGAATACCGTGCAGTACTTTATGCAAAGTAAAAAAAAATCCAAAGTAAAAACTGTATAAAAGCTCATGTAAGTGTACTCTGTTTAAAAATAAAAAAAATTAATGTGTACCAAACAATTTCTGTGTGCAACACTTTAAATTCATATTAAATGTATTTCCAGGATACAGCAGCAATCCTTCACATCTACTTATAAGTAAAAATGAATAAAATATACACATGTGTGTGCTGTGCCTTATAAGAACCCCAATTAAACGGGAAGGCAAATATTATACATGTTAGGTCTAATCTTAAGGTGAGAGCATAAGCTTTGTGGTGACGGGATATGCACTTTGGATGAATTACTGTATATATTATAAAACACTGGTGAAAATAGGGACGTTTGGAATAAAAAGGAGATTGAAGTCTTTTGTAGACCTTTTAGAAACGCATGTAAATTAGAACATTTTTAAAGTGGTACACATGGACAGATTTGGGTACACATGGACATTATTTCATATTTGGTTACCTATAAGTAGGTGTGGTGAAGGATTGTTCTTATAGGTGAAGGATTGTTCCTATATCTTGGAAGTACGTTTAATATATATTTAACCACCTCCCGCCCGCCATATAGTAATATTACGGACGCAAGGTGGTTTTCACGTTCTGGGAGGACGTCATATGACGTTCTTACCGCGCATGCGCGGCTCAGGGAGCACGTGGCGATCAGCGGTGCGCTGTGTCCCCCGGACACAGCGGATCACGGAAAGAGCCGAAGATGTCAGCTCAGTCATGTGGTCAGCTGTGTCCAATCACAGCTTATCACATGTAAATAGGGAAATGCCAGTTATCAGCATTTCTCTGCTCTCGAGCTGTCAGCGTGAGGAGAGCGGTAATCGGCTTTCCGCAGAGGGGACATGTACACTGATCATCAGGGCACTGATGATCAGTGTAGCCCCAGCAGCGCCACCTGTCAGTGTCCATCAGTGCCTTGTGTCAGTGCTCATCAGTGCCTCGTGCCACTGCCCATCAGTGCAACATCAATGCCACATATCAGTGCCTACCAGTGCACATCAATGCCACATATCAGTGCCCATCTGAGCTGCCTTTCAGTGCCACCCATCAGTGCTGCCAGTCAGTGCCGCCTATCAGTGCTGCCTGTCAGTGCCATATATCAGTGCTGCCTGTCAGTGCCATATATCAGTGCTGCCTGTCAGTGCCATATATCAGTGCTGCCTGTCAGTGCCCATAAGTGATGCCTGTCAATGCCCATCAGTGCCTCCTCAGTGCCCATCAGTGCCACCTATTACTGTCCATCAGTGCAGCATATCAGTGCCCATCACTGCAGCCTCATTAGCGCATATCAGTGAAGGAGAAAAATCACTTATTTACACAATTTTATAACAAAAACTAAGAAAAAACATTTTTTTTTTCACAATTTTCAGTTGTTTTTGGTTTGTTTAAGAAAAAAAAAAAAAACCCAGAGGTGATTAAATACCACCAAAATAAAGCTCTATCTGTCACAAAATAAATGATAAAAATTTCATATGGGTAAAATGCTGCATGACCGTGCAATTGTCATTCAAAATGCGACAGTGCTGAAAGCTGGAAATTGGCCTGGGCACACACAGACAACATTCGCCACATATGGATATTTCATGGATGGATGATATCTTCTATGTATATTTTTTAAATTCAATTTTACCTATAAGAAGTAGGTATGAAGGATTGCTGCTGTATCCTGGAAACACGTTTAATATTAATTTAAAGTGGTACTCACAGACAATGGTTTGGTACACATGAATATTTCGTCATTTTATTTTTAAACATAGAGTATATTTGGAGGAGTATTTATACAGTTTTTACTTTGTATCTTTTTACTTTGCTTAAAGTACTGCACAGCACTGTGTATATATATTTATATAAAGAGGGTAGAGATTTGAGGCGGTAAAACAGCGACTTACCCACAGGTTTTTACCACTTCCCAACTTTATTTGTAAATGAACTCTAATGGTGCCGCTGCCAAATGCAACTAAGGGCTCCTTCACAAGTGCAGTAGGTACTACTGCTCCTCTGAAAAGTGATCTTAGTGTGTTTCACAGGTGGTGAGGAGGCAATATGTTGCCTCCTCACCACCTAATTTAAACCCATGCACACAATTGTGGCACAGTAGTACAGGAATTAGAGATATATCTCTGATGTGAGGCAGCGACACTGGACAACACTGGGCCTGGTGATCGTTGACTTCTCCCATGTTGTGCAGGTAGCTCTCCACATCTTTAAGGTTGCCTACCCCTGCTTTAGCTGTTAGAAACAGTCACCTAGAGAGGTCAGAGTCTTATTTTTAAGCTCTTTTAGGCCCCTTTCACGCAAGCGGCCCGATCAGATACACCTGCCAGTTTTTCAGGCAGACCTGATGGGAAACTTCACATAGTCTCTGAATGTCCGGATGTAAATGGACTTGTGTTTGTTTACATATGATTACCTCTGAGTCTGTCCAAGTTTACATGTCAAAGTTCTGTGTCTATTTCAGTTTTTTTTTTTCAGACCTAAACAGATTATAGGTAATTGGATGTAAACAGATGCAAGATTCTTTACACTCGGCCACCTATGGCTCTAAAATGGCTCCACTATTTACATGCAACAAAAAAAATGAAGTGAAAATGGATGGAAAAAGTGACATCTGTTCTTCTCTAATTTAGCAGCGGATCTGTTCACAGATCCCTTGATAGTTGGACTGGACATGGCCTATGTGAAAGGGCTCTTACTGCTTGTTAAGAATATGTAAATAGTTTTAATATCCACAGTCTGGGCACAGGTGCACTTTAAATAGAAATATATTTACTCTGCTCTATCAAGCTTTCTTTCTGAAAACATCTTTGTAAGATATTGATTGATGGCAAGAAGACTGTAACTTTTTTCCCAACGTATACTGCAAACCTTAGTGCCACTGTAAATACAACACTATCTTGTTTGGGATCAGAATATCTTTTTAGGTCTATTTTATTTTGGCCCCTTCCAAGCTAAAATATATAGATATAATAAATGTGTGTTAGGCCATGAAAAATATGGAACCCTTAATTGTATAACTCTGATGAATGTTAGTGGCCATATATATATATACAAGAAAAAGTAAATATGATTGTAACTAGTTTTTTCTGTGCACCTCTTCCAGGATGGTCACATAGCCCTGCACCTTGCGGTAAGAAGATGTCAGATGGAAGTAGTTAAAACCTTGATCAATCAGGGGTGCTATGTAGACTTCCAGGATCGCCATGGTAACACGCCACTTCATGTCGCCTGCAAAGATGGCAATATTCCTATTGTAATGGCACTCTGTGAAGCTAAATGTAATTTGGATATTACTAACAAGGTGAGCCACTGGTAACAATAATGCTAAATATTAATGAATAAAACTAGTATTTAACAAATGTCCAGAAATATCTAGAGCAGAATTGTTATCTATTTTAAAAAAATGTACCTATAATTATTTGCAGGCTAATCAAACATTGACCATTATCCAGTAAAATAGACCATCTTGTTCTTGCATCTGCAATAACTATAGCACTTAACCATGAAAGCTATTCTGTATTTCTTTTCTGATCGTTGATTGATCATGTATAATTTATTCATTGTGCTCATTGTTACTGCAGGCTAACTGGGCTCTGATGCAGGAATTGAATTTAGGCCCAGTTGCTTTCTGGAAATATTTTAGGTAATATAATTTTAAGTATGTGCAGCCCCTTTTTTTGATTGTCATTTCGTAGTTTTTTTTTTCCGTTTTTATGCATTTAGTTTATTACTATACACACGTGGAGAGTCAAGCGTATAAATGTTTGTATCTGTGCGTGTGTATGTTTCATGTATATGTAAAACATGTCTGCTGGTCATTGTTTATATTTTCAAGTTAGTTGAGTGTTTCTTTCCAGGTTGTATTTGTCATTGTGCAGGACATAATCACAATTGCACTGACAGTGTTAAGTACAGCCATCTCCCACCACACTACATGCTCACTTCTGATGGACTACAGAACCACACTCTTTTAATCATCTCTATAGCAGGGCCCTCGAACCCCTCGTGTATTGTTTTGTTACTGTATTGTCTCATGTTCTGTCCCCCACTATATTGTACAACGCTGAGCAAACCTTCTGGCACTATATAAATACTGTATAATAATAATAATATGTAAGGTGGTGGTGTTCGGTAATCCAAAGAGATGAACTGGGCAGGATTGACAATACCCTGCCAAGTTCATACTAAGAAAGTTACAGATTGAGCCGGTTTCAGCTGAGTGTGAGAGGGACAAATGCATAAGTGGAGGCTACCTTAAGTGAAAGCCACATGTCAAATAAATCAGCAGAGAATTTTGCATCTGCTCACATATGAACCCCTTCGTCTTTTGCAGATATTTAGCAGCCTATGTCTTTGGGTGTTCTGATTTTTTTGACATGTGGTTTTTAGGTAAGTTAACCTCTACTTATTCATTGTTTTGTCAAATCTTCAGTCAAGATTTCCTAGGTTTTTGACAAATCTACTTAAAGGATAAATTTTAGCAAAAAATAATAAAAGCAAATTATTTTGCATGTAAAAAAAAAGTGAATTTACTATTTTTATTGTTTTAGAAGCCTGGAAAGCATTGCACCATTGAACAGCAGATGGCTGGTACCATGCAGGTGTCCTACAGACTCTCAGTGTAATCTGTCTGCTTGTACCTCATATGAGCAGGCAGATACACACTGACAGGAAGAATCAATGAGCTACCACTCGCTCAATTGTGACATCGGGAGGGGGAGAAGATAACAAAGGGGGATTAGGGGTGGGTGGGGGGTTCTGGGCGTCGGTCCTACAGTAACATGTTACACACTGAATATGTTAAGAGAGGTGAATTCATCCTTTAAAGGGTTGATCAGTATTTAGAATATGGTGGCTCTAATTTTAGTCATCTGTTAGAAAAACTTGGTGAAGCAATTTGATCTTTTTCTTTTGTCCGTTTGCCTTGCAATGTTGTATTTTGCTGTTAAAAATACTTTCCTGTAGAATGTAAGGTTTGGTATCATGATAAAACTGCAAGACCACTTTCTGACAGCTACAAAGTTGTAGTAGTTGTAGCAAGATTATGTGTTATCCTTTCTACAATCGGTTCTACTTTGAACACAATAAAATCATTTTGTCATTCTCGCTCAAAGAATTGCCAGGTGACACGCCTGTGATTTGAGTAGTCTAGCAATAGATTGATTTTTTTTCCTTCAATTTAGTGAACACATTGTTATCCTAGTATTTGTAGCAATTATTCTAGCAATGCTACATAAATTATTGCTTTTTAATTGTTGTCACAGAAAACAATCTCTTCAGATGATTTAAAGTTGTAAACCCTTACATACAGTTAGGTCCATATATATTTGGACACAGGCACAATTTTCATACTTTTAGCTCTGTATGCCACCAGAATTAATTAAAACAAAACAATCCAAATGAATTTGAAGTGCAGACTTTCAGCTTTAATTCAAGGGTTGAACATAAATATCAAGTACATATTTTAGGCACTGCAACCATTTTTATACACAGTCCTTCCATTTTCAGGGGCTCAGATGTAATTGGACACATTTATTATTATTATTATACAGGATTTATATAGCGCCAATATTTCGCTCAGTGCTTTACAATATAAAGGGAGACAGTACAGAAACAATACCATTCAATACAAGAGGGTTTGAAGGGCCCTGCTCCTTGGAGCTTACAATCTAAGAGGGAGGGGCTGGTGGTACAAAAGGTAACAACTGTGGGAATGAACTGATAGGAGGAATAGAAGATTCCGTTATTAGCTGAAGGCAGGATAGGCTTCCCTGAAGAGATAGATTTTCAGAGATCACCTAAAAGTGGACAGAGTAGGTGACAGTCGGATAGATTGAGGTAGAGAGTTCCAGAGGATGGGGGAGGCACTGGAGACGGGCATGAGAGGAGGAGACAAGGGAGCTAGAGAGCAGGAGGTCGTGCGTGCGTGGAGCGGAGAGGACGGTTTGGGTGATATTTGGAGACAAGATTTGTGATGTAATTTGGGGCAGAGTTACAAATGGCTTTATATGTTATTGTTAATGTTTTGAATTTTGAAGAGGTGATATCCTGCAATTATGTAGGCCAATGAGGAGGGAGTGACAATAGCCATGCAAAGAGATAACAAGGGAGTGAATAAGTTGCTTAGTGGTTTCCGAGGTTAGGAACGGCCGTATCTTGGAGATGTTGCGGAGGTGAAGTCTACAAGATTTGGACAGTGATTGGATTTGGGGCTGAAAGGACATACGGGAGTCTAGGATTACACCTAGTACCCTGGCATGAGGGGAGGGACTGATGGTTGTATTATTGATCTTGATGGAGAAGTCAGGGAAGGTGGCACAGGCTGGAGGGAATAGTATGAGCTCCGTTTTGGAAAGATTGAGTTTGAAGAAGTGGAGTGTCATCCATGCTGATATGTCAATTAGTAGGTTAGTAATGCAAGAGAAGACTGAAGGAGTGAGGTGAGGAGTAGAAAGATAGATTTGTGTGTCATCAGCATAGAGATGGTACTTAAAGTCATGGGAGTTTATCAACTGACCAAGGGAGCAGGTGTAGATGGAGAAGAGAAGGGGTCCAAGGACAAACATGAATATAATCATAAATAAAATGTTCATTTTTAATATTTCGTTGAGAATCCTTTAGTAGCAATGACTGCCTGAAGTCTGAAACCCATGGACATTACCAAAGACTGGGTTTCCTCCTTTCTGATGCTTTGCCAGGCTCTAACTGCAGCTGTCTTCAGTTGTTCTTTGTTTGTGGGCCTTTCTGCCTTTTAGTTTTGCCTTCAGCAAGTGAAATGCATGCTCAATTGGGTTGAAATCAGGTGATTGACTCAGCCATTGCAGAATATCCCACTTCTTTTCCTTCAAAAGCTCCTGGGTTGCTTTTGCAGTGTGTTTTTGGATCATTGCCCATCTGTACTGTGAAGCACCGTCCAATCTGCATTTGTCTGAATCTGGGTTAACTGTATATCTCTAAACACTTTAGAATTCATCCAGCTGCTTCTGTCACATCATCAATAAACACCAGCGCCACTGGAAGTCATGCATGCCCATGCCATCACACTGCCTCCACCATGTTTTACAGATGATGTTGTGTGCTTTGGATCATGAGCTGTTCCAAGCCTTCTCCACACTTTTTTCTTCCCGTCATTCTAGTACAGATTAATCTTAGTTTCATCCATCCAAAGAATGCATTTCCAGAACTGGTCTGGCTTTTTTAGATGTTTTTTGGCAAAGTCTAATCTGGCTTTTCTTCTCTTTATGCTTATGAATGGTTTGCACCTTGTGGTGAACCCTCTGTTTTTGCTCTCATGAAATCTTCTCTTGACAGTGACAATGATACACCCACCTCCTGGAGAGTGTCCTTCACTTGTCTGGATGTTGTGAATGGGTTTTTCTTTACCATAGAGAGGATCCTGTGATCATCCACCACAGTTGTCTTCCGTTGTCTGCCTTTTTATGTTGTTGATCTCACAAGTGCATTTTTTCCTCAGAATGTACCAAAACTGTTGATTTGGCCACTCCTAATATTGCTGCTATATCTCTCTGATGGATTTGTTTAGTTTTTGAAGCCTTGCATTGTCCTGTTTCATTTGCATGGACAGCTCCTTTGAACTCATGATATAGGTTCACAGCAATATATTCCAAATGCAAATGCCACACTTAGAATCAACTCCAGACCTTTTACCTGCTTAATTGATGAAGAAATAATGGAGTAACCCACACCTGGCCATGAAACAGCTTTTTATTCAATTTTCCATTTACTTTTGGTCCCTTGAAAAAGGGGGGATGGCTACACTTTAAGAGCTGTAATTGCTAAACCCTTCCTCCAATTTGGATGTACATACCCTCAAATTAAACCAGAGAGTGTGCACTTTCAGCCCATATCCATTATATAACTATAGCTTGAATATGTTTTGGTATATACCTGAAAAAAACTAAAATTGTGCCTGTGTCCAAATGTACCTGGTTATATGCAACCCTCTTTTCTCCAAACTTTCTAAGCAGAGGGCCAGTTTACTGTCCTTCAGACTTTAGGGGGGGGGGGCAGACTGTGGCCCCAGTGGAAGTAGAAAATATCCCAGCATCAGTGAGAGTAAACAATCCTTCAGGCTTGGTGGTCAGTAGAAGTAAGAAAAATGACAAAGCACATGTGGTTAGTAGGCGGAACGGATAATGCCCTATCGTTGTTATTGGTGGGAGCAATCGTGCCCAATCATTGGTGTCAGTAGAATAAATAGTGCCCCATCATTGGTGTCATGAGGAAGAATAGTGTCCCATTGTTGGTTTCAGTGGAGGAAGCCGTGGTGTCAGTGGAAGGAATTATGCCCCACTACTAGGTGTCAGTGGATGGAATGGTGCCTCAACCTTGTTGAGAGTGGGAGGAATAGTGCATCATGTCATTGGGAGCAATAGTGACCCAAGTGCTGGATAAAAGCTAGCAAAGGGCCACATCTGGCCCGTGGGCTTTAGTTTGGGGACCACTGCTTTACAGTTATTCAAAGTACAGCATTTAGAGAGCATTTCTCAACAACAGAAGGTGGTGGGGGGGGGCTGATGTCATGCACTGTACAGCATAGAGCAGGGAGTTTAGTGTAATCTGAGACCTGAGTGGAGGGAATGGACACACACCCTCTACAGAGTGTTATAAGGTAACATTCACAACTGTAGCTTTCAGTCACCTGCTGTGTGCTGGAGGGGAAAGGGGGGCAGGGTCCTCTACTGAGATTGTCTGTCTGGTGTGGACATAGACTATCAGATGTGACTCATGCAGATACAGTTGTGTTAAAAAAAAAATAGCAGTGTTTTAAAAAGTGAGTAAAGCTCAAAATCTCTATAATAGCTATTATTTCCATACATGCAAATGCATTGGGAATACTGAACAGTTTATTCTAAATCAAAACATGAAGAAAAATGTTTCACATTTATTATTACTTTCTCTGGCTGTTAGGCTGTTCAAAAAAATAGCAGTGTTTGTATTCTTCTTTACAAACTCAAACATTCACTATATAAACTGAAAAATGTTTGAAGATTTTGCTTTCCTGTGAACTAATATTTAGTTGTATAAGCACTGTTTCTGAGAACTGCTGTACATCTGTGTTGCATGGAGTCAACCAACTTTTGGCACCTGTGAACAGGTATTCCAGCCCAGGATGATTGGACTACATTCCACAGTTCTTCTCTATTTCTTGGTTTTACCTCAGAAACCGCATTTTTAATGTCATCCCACAAATTTTCTATTAGATTAAGATCTGGGGATTGGGCTGGCCACTCTATAATGTTGATCTCGTTAGTCTGGAACCAAGATGCTGCTCGCTTACTGGTGTGTTTGGGGTCATTGTCTTGTTGAAACACCTATTTCAAGGGCATTTCCTCATGACCTCTTCAAGTATTTTGATGTATTCTGATCCATGATCCCTGGTATGCGATAAATAGGCCCAACACCATTGTATGAGAAACATCCCCATATCATGATGCTTGCGCAACCATGCTTCACTGTCTTCACAGTGTACTGTGGCTTGAATTCAGTGTTTGGGGGTCATCTGACAAACTGTCTGCGGCGGCCCCCTAGACCCAAAAAAGAACAACCTTGATTTCATCAATCCACAAAATGTTGCGCCATTTCTCTTTGGGCCAGTCAATGTGTTCTTTGTCAAATTGTAACCTGTTTAGCACAGGTCATTTTTTCAACAATGAAACTTTGCAGGGCTTCTTGCTGATTAGCTTGGCTTCACACGGGCGTCTTGTAATTGTTACAGTACTCAGATAACTTTCCTTGGTCACCCTGGAGCTGATCTTTGGCTGAGTGTTTGCCATTTTGGCTATTCTTTGATTAATTTGAATATTAGTTTTCCATTTTCTTCCATGTCTTTCTGGTTTTGGTTGCCATTTTAAAGCCTCACTGGACCCTGCCAATCTTGGCAACCTAAGACCCATCTCCTTACTCCCTTTTGCCTCCATACTTCTTGAATGTTTAGTCTACAACCAGCTGAGCTGCCACCTTATTGAAAATAACCTTCTCGATCCCCTTCAGTCTGGATTTCGCCCACAACACTCCACAGAAACTGCTCTCCTAAAACTCACAAACGACTTACTGCTAAAACCAATGGTCACTATTCCGTACTCTTGCTCTTGGACCTCTCCGCTGCCTTTGACACAGTTGACCACCCCCTCCTCCTCAAAAACTCTATTTACTTGGTCTCCGTGACTATACTCTCCGTTGGTTTGAGTCTTGCCTATCTCACCGCACCTTCAGTGTCACGTACAACTCTACTTCCTCCTCTCCTACTCCTCTTACTGTCGGGGTCCCCCAAGGTTCTGTCCTTGGACCTCTCCTATTCTCGATCTACACTTCTTCCTTGAGTCAGCTGATAGCTTCCCATGGTTTCCAATACCATTTCTATGCTGATTACACACAAATCTATCTCTCTACTCCTCAGCTCACCCCATCAGTTTCCACACGTATAACCTATTTACTAACAGACATATCAGACTGGATGTCACACCACTTCCTAAAACTCAATCTATCCAAAACTGAGCTCATAGTATTTCCTCCCCCACGTGCCTCTTCCCCCGATTTCTCTGTCAGGATCAATAGCACCGCTATCAACCCATCCCTGCATGCCAAGGTGCTTGGTGTAAACCTGGATTCTGAACTATCCTTTCAGGTCCACATCCAATCCCTGTCCGAATCATGCCTCCTTAACCCCCGCAACATCTCCAGAATACGCCCCCTTTTTAACCAATGATACCACAAAGCTCCTAATTCACTCCCTGGTAATCTCTCGACTCGACTACTGCAACTCCCTCCTCATTGGCTTACCTTTGCATATGCTATCCCCCGTCCAGTCCATCATGAATACTGCTGCCAGGCTCATCCACTTTACCAACCGTTTAGTGTCTGCTACCCCTCTCTGCCAATCCCTCCACTGGCTTCCACTCGCTCAATTAATAAAATTCAAAATACTAACAACTTACAAAGCCATCCACAACTCTGACCCCAGCTACGTCACCAACCTGGTCTCAAAATATCAACCAAAACGCTCTCTTCGATCCTCTTAAGACCACCTGTTCTCTAGTTCCCGTGTCACCTCCTCCCATGCTCGCCTCCAGGACTTCTCCCTTGCTTCTCCCATCCTATTTAACTCTCTACCCCCATCTGTCTGGCTGTCTCCTAATCTATCCAACCTTTAGACGATCCCTGAAAACCTTTCTCTTTAAGTCTATCCTGCTTCTACCTAGTAAACCGCCATTTATTTCCTCCATCGGCTCATCCCCCCCCCCCCCCCCCAGCTATTACCTTTTGTATCACTCAACCCTTCCTCCTAGATTGTAAGCTATAACGAGCAGGTCCCTCTGTTTCCTCTTGTACCAAATTGTATTGTAACTGTAATGTCTACCTTCATTTTGTAAAGCGCTGCGCAAACTGTTGGCGCTATATAAATCCTGTATAATAATAAAGCATTTGAGATCATTTTAGCTGAGCAGCCTATCAGTTTCTGCACTATTTTATATGTTTTATATGCCTTCCCTGAGTTCTGCTCTTTACATCTTTACAATAAAATTCACCATTGGAAAATAATTTTTCCAAATAGCTGTTTTCTTCACAATTGGTGATCTTTTCCTCGCTTATTTCTGATTTTCAATTAAAATTCTTTTAGGGGGGGGTGATCAGGGATTTTTTTTTATACCGCAGGCCAGAGTACTTGGTGTCATTCTGGACTCCAACCTATCCTTCCAGCCCCAAGTCCAATCTTTAACAAACTCGTGCAGACTCCACCTCCGCAACATTGCCAAAATCCGCACGTTCCTAACCCCAGAAACCACTAAACAGCTCATCCACTCTCTCATCATATCACGAATCGACTACTGCAACTCCCTCCTCACTGGCCTGCCTCGCCGCTGGCTATCCCCGCTTCAGTCGATCCTGAATACGGCTGCCAGACTCATTCACCTTTCCAACCGCTCTGTCTCTGCCACCCCCCTCTGCCAATCCCAATCCACCACTGGCTTCCGATTGCGCAACGGATCAAATTCAAAATCCTAACGCTGACGTACAAAGCTGTCCACCATACTGCCCCGTACTACATCACTGACCTAATATCCAAGTACCGCCCAGCACGCACACTCCTCTTCTCACAAGACCTCCTTCTCTCTAGTTCCCTGGTCTCCTCCTCCCATTCCCACCTCCAGGACTTCTCCAGGGTGTCACCCATCCTCTGGAACTCCCTGCCCCAACCCATCAGATTATCACCTACTCTCCTCTCCTTTAGGCGCACCCTGAAAACCCATCTCTTCAGGGAAGCCTACCCCACCCCCTGCTAACTTGCCGACCTCCTCCACTCTTTCTACCACTCCATCCCCCACAGCTATCTCCTCCTGTGCCACCATCCCCTCCCTCCTAGATTGTAAGCTCAAAAGAGCAGGGCCCTCAATCCCCTCATGTTTTGCATTGTATTGGTATTGTTCTGTCACATGTTCTGTCCCCCTCTGTAATGTACAGCGCTGAGCGAACTATTGGCGCTTTATAAATACTGTATAATAATAATAATAATAATAATATATATACTGGTATAAGCAATAGTTTAACTCTCATGACTGGCTTTCTATTCATGACAGCTTGCTTACTGTTGTGATGCTGTGATTGGCTACAACTAGTCACATGGTACAGGGTTCCTGGTACCATGTGATAGTTGTGGGCAAATCACAGCATCACAACAGTAAGTAAGTTGTTAAATGAAAGCCATTCATGGCAATTTGCTTATATAATATCATGCGATTGCTGTGATTAGTCATAGCGATCACATGATACGTCAGCCTCTCACAGCGGCTGGGTTCCGAGCACTGTGATCCGATGTGTCCACTGGATACAGCGGTCATGGGACACTGCCGCTGCAATTCCCCTGGCGGTGCACTAGTGTGCATGTGCTAGGCGATTACTGGTATGTCGCTCATTAGCTGTGCCGTCCGCCTGCAGTAGATTCGCCATTGGTGATCGTTTCCTTGCTTATTTTCAATTACAATTCTTCACTGAATCCTTGTCATACCAAATGATAAAATGAGCTGCTACATAGTAGCTGACTATTTACAGACCTTTCTGACTGGTGTTCTTAAGCTGCCGTTTAGGTATGAATCTTATTGCACAGACAAATTGTTCTAATTTGTACACATTAAGTATGCAGATTTCTGCCCTGATATCTTGATTCAGCAGTTTTTGTTTATAATGCTAACAATATACATTGTCATTTCTCTTTTTTTTCTAGTATAACCGGACCCCGTTACACCTGGCAGCCAATAATGGCATTCTGGAAGTTGTTCGCTACCTTTGCCTCTCTGGTGCCAACGTGGAAGCTTTAACTCTGGTAAGGAAATTACATTTATTAGAGTTCTTTTGGTTTGGTGATTGAATGTAAAGAAGAATAAGAACCATTTTCTCTTACATTCGGGTTTGTTTTCTGAACTTTAAATTCAAATATCGCAGTAGTTTCAGGTTAAATGAAATGTTTAAAATCAGGTTACCCCTCGGGGATGATGTCAGATGAGAGTTCTGCCTGTGCCCCAGAAAATCATTACACCACCAAACCTGCCTCTCTTTTCCCACCCAAAGCAGGCAGCCTTTGATTAGGATGTACATACTGTGCAAAAGTTTTAGGCATGTCTGAAAAAATGCTGTAAATTAAGATTGCTTTCAGAAATAGAAATGTTCATAATTTAATTTTATCAATGAACAAAATGGAAAGTAAATGAACAGAATAGATATCCAAATCAAATCAATATTTGGTGTGACCACCCTTTGCCTTCAAAACAATTCTGCTAGGTACACCTGCACGCAGTTTTTGAAGGAACTCAGCAGTTAGGTTGTTCCAAACATCTTGGAGAACTAACCACAAATTTTCTGTGGATGTAGTCTGCCTCAAACCTTTCTGTCTCTTCATGTAATCCCATACAGACTCGATGTTGGAAACTGAGCTCTGTGGGGGTCAAACCATTACTTCCAGGCATTGTTCTTTTTTACGCTGAAGATGGTTCTTAATGGCATTGGCTTTATGAGGGGATAAGAGACGCCACACACCACTAGCTCAACAGGTGGAGAGGTATGTGAATGGCCTCAGCCATGAGCTCCTCCTCAGGAGGAGGTATGGTTTAGGAGGAGCTCAAGGCTGAGGCCATTCACATACCTCTCCAGCTGTCGAGTTAGTGGTGTTTGGCGTCTCTTATCCCCTTCATGCTTCCCTGTTTTCTGGATCAAGCACAAGACAGCATGCATGCTTACCTTGCTGTGAGACACTGGATTTAGTAGAGTACTACAAGTGGTTATAGGACATTGGCTATGTGTTTGGAGTGGTTGTCCTGTTGCAGAATACATTTGGAGCCAATCACATACCTCCCTGATGGTATGGCAGGATGGATAAGCATTGGCCTCTATTTCTCAGCATTGTAGACACCATTGATCCTGACCAAATCTCCAACTCCATTTGCAGAAGTTAGGCCCCAAACTAGCAAGGAACCTTCACCATGCTTCACTGTTGCCTGCAGACACTCATTATTGTACCACTGTCCAGCCCTTTGGCGAGCAAACCGCCACATATTTCAGATTCTGATTCATCAGTCCAGAGCACCTGCTGCCATTTTTCTGCACCACAGTTGCTATAGTTTTGTGCATAGTTGAGTCGTTTAGCCTTGTTTCCACATAGGAGGTATGGCTTTTTGGCTGCAGTTTTTCCATGAAGACCACTTCTATCCAGACTTATCCGGACAGTATATGAGTGTACCTGGCTCCCACTGGTTTCTCTCAGTTCTGTGTTGATGGCACTGCTGAACATCTTCAAATGTCAAAGGGAAGTAAGTGTGACGCTGCATTAAGTTTCTTTGGCCAACCATGGTTTCTCCTGTCTTCATCGTTGCCCATTTCTTTGTGCTTCTCTAAAAGAGCTTGAACAGAATATCTTGAAACCTGGTCTGTTTTGAAATATTTACCTGGGAGAGACCTTCCGATGTAGTATAAATAGTTGTTGTCTTGTTGCTGTGCTCAATCTTGCCATGGTGCCAAAGGATAATCACAACAAATATTGATTTGATTTAGATTTTTCTTTTCGCTCACTTTGCATTTTGTAAATTGATAAAAATAAAATGTATATTTTTGAAAGCATTCTTACTTTCTACACAGCATTTTTACACACTTGCCTAAAACTTTTGCATAGTACTGTACATTAACATCTAACCTCCATCCATAAAAGAAAAATGTGGCAGAAATTTTCAAGAAAGCAGAGGCAGAGTCTTGTTGTGCTGCAGCATTTCTGATTGCTTGAGTGGTACCTCTGTCACTCGCCAAATGCTACTTGCTATGACTGGCATCTCCTTGTGGTAAATGCACAAGTTCGTTCTTCAGATAGGAGTATTCATTTGATATCATAAAATATGTGCATTCAGTTACTTGAAAATATTGTTGGTCTCTAATCCATATTTGGGCCGCCTCAGTCCACCCTCATAGCTACATTTAGGAAGCACCTGTCAACATGGGACAAAGTACTACATGTATTTGTCCCTTAAGGGAGAGATTAGTGGAAAAAAACTTTTTGATCATTCTGCTTTCAATTGCATTTGTATCAAGAATCTAACTAGAATAACCTCTCTTTTCCGTACGCCATAGCTCTTTAACCATTTGCCGCCCGCCCTATGGCCGAACGGCGGGCGGCAAATGTCATCAGCGTTCCGGGTGGATGCCATATGGCGTCCTCCCGCACATGCGCAGACTGCGCTCCTGCAGAGCGGCACGATCTGTCACCGGCCGTGTACCTCGGACACAGCCGATGACAGATCTGAGTATCGGCCCGTTGCCGGTACCATGTGACCTGCTGTGACCAATCACGGCAGGTCACTTGACAGTTGTATACAATGGATGGCTTCATTCATGCCATCCATTGTATACTAGTGTCTAGCTGTGAATGGTCACGGCTAATCACATGCACATGTCATGTGATTAGCTGTGGCCAAATCACAGCTAAGCACAAAAAAAAAACAAAAAAAACCCTGAATGAATCGATTTCATTCAGGTAAATGCTTGCTTATAGCAAAGTAATTTCTTTGCTATAAGCAAATTGTGTAAAAAAAAAAAAAATACTGATCACTTCCCCAAAGTAGTACAATGTTACTATGGTAACATTGTACTACTTTGGTCATAGTGGAATATGAAAAAAAAATCTTAAAAAAAATAAAAAATAAAAAAATTATACAAAAAAAAAAAAAAAAACATATATATATATATATTTTTTTTTTCATACTGTCACCAGTCAGTGTCCCTGATCACCGCCATGCCAGTTATATGATGACGCTGTACTGCACTGGTGACAATATGTAAAAAAAATAATAGTGAAACTAATTTTTTTAATTTTTTCATTTTCCAAAAAATTATGACAAAAAAATTACAACTTCAAAAAACTTGCCATGCCTCTTATGAAGTAGCTTGGACTGTCTACTTTGCAAAAAAGGGGTCATTTGGGGGATAGCTGTACTGTTCTGACATTCTAGGACCTCAAGAAATTAGATTGGCTGTCAGTACTTCAGGATTGATCATATTTCAGATCTATATCATAGTTTGTGAACTCTATAACTTTCCTACAAACTAAAAAATACATCCTAATTTGGGTTATTTTCACCAAAGACATGTAGCAGAATACATCTCAGCCTAAATTTATGACGAACAATTATTTATTTGCAAACTTTTATAACACAAACAAAGAAAAATTTATTTTTTTTCAAAATTTTTGGTCTTTTTTTGTTAATTTAGCAAAAAAAAACTCCAGCAGTGATTAAATACCACCAAAAGAAAGCTCTAGTTGTGTGAAGAAAATGATAAAATTTTAGTTTGGGTGCAATGTTGTATGACCGCGCAATTGTCATTCAAAGTGTGAGAGCGCTGAAACCTGAAAACTGGCCTGGGCAGGAAGGTGTAAAAGTGCCCGGTATGGAAGAGGTTAACAAGGCTTTTCCAGCTGCCGAAATGATAAAACTAGCAAAGGCAAATGAGGAGGAAATATCTCCTCTGAATTGGGAGATTAGCTCACAGACATTTTGCTCTATAATTATGTATGTGCGTAGTGTAATTAATTTATGGATGACAATGCTTATCTAGAAACTGCACTAATACATGAAAGCAGATAAGATGTCACTAATGGACACTAATAAGGGAATAAAAGAGTCAGCATTTAATTTCTTAAAGTTCACTTGGGCTTTAAATTAGTAACTTAAATGGAATTGATGTTTGTAGGAAAAATTATGGCACACATCAGGCTTTCTCTTAAGTGACCTGAAATGATATATATCCTAAATAAATGGGAATTTGTGTGACTAATTTTTCATTTTATTCTGACACTGTGGTTTTAACAAGCTCTGAAAACATTTTTACTAACTGCTTGCAATAAACTGGCATTATCTAATTAAAAAAAGAAGTGTGGGGTTTGTTTTCTCCAAAATATACTTACCTAGGTGGATGCAGCGTCGGTCTGATTCTGCATTTATTCCCCGTTGGCTCTAAGAGTTAGAACGTGGCGATCACATGATTGCTTAGTTCTCACAGCCGCTCTGAGCAGAGAGAGCGGGAATGTCAGTCACCACTATCTGCTCTGCCACTTAACTGGAGCGCTGGGCTGTTGGAGGGAGGGAGTGGCTGGCTCAGGCTCTCAGTGGCTCACTGGGAGGCTGAGCCAGGTGCTGCTCCAGACTCTGGGGTGGATCCCGACTTTGAGGTCGGGATCTTTCCCCAGCCTGGACTAGCTGAGTGATGCCAGCCAACAGTGGGCTTCAGCCCGCTGTCGGCTGAAAACTGGCCACAGGAGTGCAGAACGAACTGCACTCTTGTGATCCACAGGAGAAGTACAGCACAAAGAGCTTTGGCTGGACTTCTCCTTTAATAGAATTAATTAATGGAGAACAATGAAAATGTACAATGAAATGTAATAATATTGGTTTCAGAAATTTTATAGCACGGAGAAATGTTTGTTGTTCAGGAGTAAATTTAGGAAGAACTGAAGACTGTTTCCTTGTTTTAGTTTAAGTGATAGAACTGAAAGCAGCCACAAGGGTCAACAATTATTTCAATAATATAGTTTTTGGATATGATTAATTACCTTGCAAGGCCCTGTGTTGTGAATTGCCAGCTACAAAAATGGCAGCTAGAATATGAGGTTGTAGGAAAGAAAATCGCTCGATTTCCCCATCAACACTGTCACTGTTGATGGGGGAATCCCTCCCGTGGAGCTATTATGTTCTACTGGTGGGGAGCCATCCCTGCCGGGAGAACACAATGATTGCTTTAGCTGCTGGAAATAATCACATGCTAACAATCTGACATGCTGGTTGTACCCAAGTCGATTAATGGATCAACTTGGGTACAATCATCTTACTCATAGAAGGATCGAATCTCGGTTGGTTCAGCAGGGACCAGTCGAGATTCGATCCATCTATGGCCGACTTTAGTGTTCATTCTCTTCTGTTAGCTAGTTTTAGAAGCATGAACCCTCCACCATGTACTGCAGATTTAAAAGGCTACATGTAAATGACCAGTTAAAGACTAGGCGGATAAATAATTCATGGCCAGTATGAAGCGTGGCAAGACTTTTATGAGACGTAATATACAATCTTGCTTAACGACCACATATTAAACATTTGTCTATTTCATATTTATTCTGTGTTAGGATGGAAAAACTGCAGAAGACCTTGCCAAGGCGGAACAGCATGAGCCTGTTGTCAGTTTGCTTTCAAGGCTTCGTAAGGTAAAGCTTTTTATTAAAAAATACGTTAAAATATAACCTTGTGAGACGTGCTTTGTGAATTATAATAACCTCTTTCTACAATGTTCTCTGGTAATTCACTGTATTTGCTCTTCGAACATTTCACCAGGTGCAGGTCTGCTAAGTACACTGCATCTAAACACCACAAACCAAAAATACCATTTTATTCATTTTTAATATTCAAAGCAGACTCACCCATCCATCCAAGTCTCCATGCTTTAGTTTGCTGAGAAAGCACTTTGAAAAACACTCACTAACATTTTTGGTTGTGGCCATCTCGAGCAAGGGCAGATGATTCATGAAGCATTTACTTTAAGGAAACTCATCTGCCCTTAGCTCAGGCAGGAGGGTGTGCTTAGCTGAGAAAACCCCACCTGAGATGAGATGAAGACTCCTGAGATGTATGACATTGTTGCCTAGGCAAGAAACCAGGAAGTAACATAAGAAATGTAAAAAAATATATATATATGATATACTTTCCTATCTATTTACTAATGCTAGCAGCATAAGGATTAAAAATAGTCAGTGTTGATTGAGAGAGTGAAGTTCTGCTTTAAATAACCCTCAGCAATCCTAACAACCCTTCTTGAAACACATAAATGGCTAGAGAGGATATGAAATACTCTCCTTTGTGAATATTGGGCTCCCACCAATGTCAAGCCATGAAACTATTGCAAAGATCTTTCGCCAACTAGAGGAAGTATAGAATACTGTTATTACAGGAATGAACACAATGAGTAATTGGCACCAATCACTCACTGTGTTCATAACTGAAGTATCGTAAACCGTTTGTTTTTTTGGAGGGGGCCCCTATCAGGTCGGCTGTATGGGGCCCTGTGGTTTCTAACAGCAGCCCTGAGGACAACATTGCACCTTCCCTTCTTCTCCTGAATGAACACAACGTGTGAGCGGTACCACTCACTGTGTTCATTCATAACTGAAGCATAGTAAACTGCTTTTGTTTGGGGAGGAGGGGCCCTGTCATGTTGACTGTATGGGACCCCATGGTTTCTAACAGCAGCCCTGGTCACATGATATTAGCGCAGGAAATGCAGAATTTCATTTAAAAATACATATAGTTAAATAAATTTTAGGGCACACACAAACAATAAATTACCCAAATTTGGTAAAATATAAAAGATGAAGTTGTTCTCTTGTTGAGTAGATATATACCCATCATGTCCAACCAAACTTCAGTACTCTATATTTTCCATAGGTGATGCTTTAAAAGCCTCTACAGGTCATCAGGTTAGAGTTAACCATGAATGGTGGGCCCAGAATTATTGATCACACTTTTCTGTGCAGTAATGGTCTCTGCCCTTTATGCAAGTAGAAGAGCCTAATGGTATACAGAAGGGAGGTATGGAAAGCTTATGACCTTTGAATTGTTTATCCACAAGAGCTGAGACCAAGAGGTCATAGAGAAGTCCTGCACAGCAGTTGGGACACTTTGCAGATGAACAACAAGATGCATGAGGGTGTATTTATAAAATGTTTACAGAGCTATTTGTCCTGTAAAGCTGCATGTATAACTGCATTTTGCCCACTAAATGGAGCCGACGACCACAGTAAATAAACAGTAAAGTGTTACTAAACCCAGGACTCTGCATCACTATAGCTGGTCTCCCACAGTACACAGAACATGGAAGTGCAATTATTTTAGTAAATATAAACTGCTAAATACCTTTTCTCATCAGCAGTTACAGCAGTCTTGTGACTTCAGCTGAGCACTAGCTAAAGCTTGTAGGAGAAGTTTTCTTTTGCTTTAGGAGGATGCAAAACTCCTGACCTCTGTCTGGAGAGTGCTGCTTGGCCCTTTGCTGATCACATGCACTCTCAAGAAAAAAACCTCTCTAGCAATACACACCAAACTGAGCATGTGCATGTGGCTATGGGTTCAGTCTGTCCTATCAGGTGGACATTTGAACAAGAGGAGGGCAGAGAAAACAGGATCAAAGGGCCTATACACAATGCAGAGGATTAACCCCTTACTTTCCACAGTGCGTAAAACAAGCATGCTTTACTGTATATACAGACTGATTTGACTGTTGTGGGTTTAGTAACACTTTAATTTCATATCATTAGCTCCATCTAGTGGCCATAATGCAGCATTTTCCTGATTCACGCTATTTCTATGAATGAAGAAAGTCCAACCTGGAGAAAAAAACAGCCAAGTAACATTTGATTTTGCAGAATTCCCAGAGAACTAATGTACATCCTGCACATTTTGCAGGATGAATAGTTCTGCAGTTTATTTATATAATTACACCCCATAATTTTGCAAGTGTACATGCTTGAACTGTTTTTAACTTGCAGTTTCAGAGCATTTGTAATTTACATTGGCCGGAATCAATCGTAATGCAAAGGCACAAAACACCAAGGTCATAGAAGGATTAAAGTAACCCTCGATGTGAGTTAGACGGGAAAAACATATACAGTCTTACTGTATCCAGAATAAAAGTGACATCATGGTGTGAAGTTAAACAATTTAAGAATAGCACCATGAGTAGCTGTACGCTCTACCCTCAGCAAACCGCCATCATTCAGTCTCCGAAGTCCAATGCAGTTAGACTAATCAAAATGTTATCTCATTGGTTGCTATGGCTACAGCTCAGGTTTTGCTTCTATTATTTGCTAAATAAGCCCCAACGCCTGGGTTGTGCTGATGCTGCAGAGATGTATTCTCCACATGTAAGTATTACCGCACCCCACTGCAGAGATTTCCCCTGCAGGAAATGTCCATCTCTGCCGAGCTCATGTCAAGATGTGCTTATTCCATTTATCCTCAGAGCCCATATTTAAGGCGACACTAATAGGATTGAACAGCCTGTACTACTGTCAGCATTGTGATTAATGCTCTCTTCCACAACAGCCATGACGTGGTAAAACATGCTAGTGACTTTACCAATTTGCTGTTCTCTCCAAATACAGTCGCACAGTTCAAAAGACATTTCATTTTAAATAAAAACAATGTCCACACAGATTCTGTGGAGTCTAATATTTTCATTTATTATCAATAGGCAGTGTTTGTATACTCATTCTGAGCAATAAATTACAAAAATCATATGTTTTTTTCCACAAATATTTGCAAATAAAATGTTTTGCATGTGTTTTGAAGATGCATATTTGGCCAAAACATTTTTGTGGGGTTGGATTAGAAGCACTGTCAGGTTTTACTGCTATTGTTGCTCCATTACAGAGATTTACCCTCATTTCCTGCCTTGCTGAAAACTGTTTCACTAGACCAGAAGTGAAGGGAAAACCTGCAATGGTGACATCATCCAAAATAAAAATGTGGCTCCCCCTCTTTACTTAAAAATGGATTTTTATTTCTGTCTGTGTTGCTGTTGGTGCTTTTCACACTCGTCCTGTCCGGTTAAATCGTTGACAGATAGTGAGTGACAGTAAACCTCTCTAAAAGAGATGCACTCAGTAGTAAGTACCTGGCAGAGGTTCTGAGCCTTCCCCACTCTATCCAAATCTAAAAGAAAAAAAACCTCACTATAAAACCCCTACAGCCTGAAACAACACAGCCTTTTGAAATGTGTCCTGTTTGTAAATGATGCAGTGAGTTGCCCCCCCTCACCGCGAACTGGAAGAATATCCAAAGAGGTGCATTCACATATACTTTACAGTCAGGTCCATAAATATTGGGACATCAACAATTTCTAAAATTTTTGGCTCTATACACCACCACAATGGATTTGAAATGAAACGAACAAGATGTGCTTTAACTGAAGACTGTCAGCTTTAAATTTGAGGGTATTTACATCCAAATCAGGTGAACGGTGTAGGAATTACAACAGTTTGCATGTGCCTCCCACTTCTTAAGGGACCAAAAGTAATGGGACAATTGGCTTCTCAGCTGTTCCATGGCCATCTGTGTGTTATTCCCTCATTATCCCAATTGCAATGAGCAGATAAAAGGTCCAGAGTTAATTTCAAGTGTGCTATTTGCATTTGGAATCTGTTGCTGTCAACTCTCAAGATGAGATCCAAAGAGCTGTCACTATCAGTGAAGCAAGCCATCATTAGGGCTGAAAAAACAAAACAAACCCATCAGAGAGATAGCAAAAACATTAGGCGTGGCCAAAACAACTGTTTGGAACATTCTTAAAAAGAAGGAACGCACCGGTGAGCTCAGCAACACCAAAAGACCCGGAAGACCACGGAAAACAACTGTGGTGGATGACCGAAGAATTCTTTCCCTGGTGAAGAAAACACCCTTCACAACAGTTGGCCAGATCAAGAACACTCTCCAGGAGGTAGGTGTATGTGTGTCAAAGTCAACAATCAAGAGAAGACTTCACCAGAGTGAATACAGAGGTTCACCACAAGATGTGAGTCTCAAAAACAGGAAGGCCAGATTAGAGTTTGCCAAATGAATCTAAAAAAGCCTTCACAGTTCTGGACAACATCCTATGGACAGATGAGACCAAGATCAACTTGTACCAGAGTGATGAGAAGAGAAGGGTATGGAGAAGGAAAGGAACTGCTCATGATCCTAAGCATACCTCCTCATCAGTGAAGCGTGGTGGTAGTGTCATGGCGTGGGCATGTATGGCTGCCAATGGAACTGATTCTCTTGTATATATTGATGATGTGACTGCTGACAAAAGCAGCAGGATGAATTCTGAAGTGTTTCGGGCAATATTATCTGCTCATATTCAGCCAAATGCTTCAGAACCATTGGACGCCGCTCACAGTGCAGATGGACAATGACCCAAAGCATACTGCAAAAAGCAACCAAAGAGTTTTTTAAGGGAAAGAAGTGGAATGTTATGCAATGGCCAACGTCAATCACCTGACCTGAATCCGATTGAGCATGCATTTCACTTGCTGAAGACAAAACTGAAGGGAAAATGCCCCAAGAACAAGCAGGAACTGAAGACAGTTGCAGTAGAGGCCTGGCAGAGCATCACCAGGGATGAAACCCAGCGTCTGGTGATGTCTATGCGTTCCAGACTTCAGACTGTAATTGACTGCAAAGGATTTGCAACCAAGTATTAAAAAGTGAAAGTTTGATTTATGATTATTATTCTGTCCCATTACTTTTGGTCCCCTAAGAAGTGGGAGGCACATATGCAAACTGTTGTAATTCCTACACCGTTCACCTGATTTGGATGTAAATACCCTCAAATTAAAGCTGACAGTCTGCAGTTAAAGCACATCTTGTTCGTTTCATTTCAAATCCATTGTGGTGGTGTATACAGCCAAAAATGTTAGAATTGTGTTGATGTCCCAATATTTTATGGACCTGACTGTACTTTAAAGCAGAACAAAACCCATAGATTGTAAGTGGTTATGAAGCCTAACCATTTTACCCTAATGTATTTTTTGCATTAAGGTAAACAAAAATGTAGGCATCAGTATCCTCCCCTGTTTACCTACCTGAACTCTCATTTGATCCAGTGTGCACATCTTCAGTTCTTCACTCCCCACAGTTCCGGGTCTCCCAGGCTTTGCTGGGGCATTGGGAGCCATTGGCTGCCTCTACTGTCATTCAAAGCCAGTTACTGGGGGTGGGGCCAAGTCTCGCTGTCTGTGTTAATGGATGCAGACAGCAGGGCTCCAGAGTGAGCCTGCACAAGTGCCCCCATAGAAAGCGGCTTCCTATGGGGGCACTGCACAGAGAGGAGCAGCCAGGAGCTCTGGTGGTGGAAAGACAAGAGGAGGTTCAGAACGACTCTGTGCAAGTATCAACCTGTTTTTTTTTTTTTGTTTGGTTGTTTTTTTTTTGTTTTTTTTTTTAACGTTTACAACCATTTTAAGGCCCCATTCACACCATACGTGCAGACAAACCAATGGAAACTGACACGCAGATTTCACTTGCAGAGACATCAGTTTTCATGTGAGCCCCATGTTGCAAATTCCTGACCAGAAAAAAAATCCGCACATGATACTAATGTGGTGTGAACAGGACATATACAGAACAATTGTTAAGTGTTCTTGCATGGCAAGACCACTTACTGTTATCTCACATATATATTCTTATTATTATAGCCAAATTTACCACCCTAACTCCTCCCACAGTTTTTACACTACATAGACAGTAATATACCGAAACGTGCGGATTGTTCCCGATTGGTGTGCTATTACTTTGTGGAACGTTTCGCCGAATGGTTCACGAAATATCAGCGTTTATGTGGTGAAATTGGTCCCATAGGAATGAATGGCGGAATGTTCAAAACTAGAGTGGGAGCTGACAAAAGCTAGAGTGTGAGCTGAAAAATCAGGACATGATTTCTAAACTGCCATCACTCCCTCATTTTCAAGCCCACCTACACAAATCTTATATCAAAACGTTCAGCTATCCCTGCTGCCACTAAAAATGTCCACGGCTAATCCATAGTCCTGATAGTTTTCACAATATGACCATTTGTTTGCAACTCATGCCGCCCATTGACATTCATTGAAATTGGTTAGTGTAATGTTTACTATCTTTACTCACTCCAAACACTCCACACAGTTACTCTGCCCACTCCATAAAGTTACTCTGCCCAGTCCAACCTTTTCACAGTTACTCCAGCCACTCCAACCACACAACAGTTACTCAAGCCACTCCACCCAGTTACTCCGCCCACTCCAGTTGTAGACTACTGGTGGAGGCAAGAACACTTCACACAATTTCCCCAGAAATTTTAGCTTTTCTAGTTTTTTGTGCCCTTGCAGCACGTTTGCAGAAAAACTGATGTCCCTGAACCATGGTGTTAACAAGCCCTAACAGTTTAAAAAATACATTTACATTCTTGGCACATGCTGGGAATGTAACTGTCACATTTGTTTGTGCTCTTAACCAAGCTGTCAAACCATCATATACCTGGTGTCAGAGTAACTACCCTATCTGATGTAAAGATGGCTACTAGAAGGAAAATTGACACCTCTGTACATGAATTCCAGAAATGAGACTATGGAACATGTATGAAAGTCATGAGAGAGAGAATAGCTGGTAATTCGTAATAATGTAAAATGTGTACCAGCTGAAAATACACTCTGTAGAATTTCCCTTTAAAGGGTATGAACGAGCCTTTCCCAGAATGTATAATAAACGTTTTCACACAACATTGGCTATAAACTAGACATGCTGTGCTTTCAGGGACTATCTTACCCTTTGTGGAATATGATATATTTCAACTGCCTGGGTAGCAAGTATTTAGAGCTTTGGTATAGGCCAGTTCACATGACCTTGTATTAATATATGAGGCATCATTTGACATGTGCTAGGGTTTGGAATCATACGTCTTGGTATACATATAGTATATCTTGATAATTCTACATCTCCGTGAGAATTAGATTTATTAATGGCTGCGATTGAATCACATCTCCTTGTAAAGATATGCTGTCTGAGACACCTGAGATCTCATGCAATCCTATTCCTGTCTCTGGTGACAAGGGAGTACAGAGATTGCTTTGTAGCATTGTCTAGTGTCAGAGTGCATTTCATCAAGTTATGTCACAATGGAACATTTCCACTCTGAATAAAGTACAAGTGCTTTGCTAGGTAAAGGAAATAGATGGCCTGTTTCTTTATATCCTGTTTATGGACATTTTGATATTAACAGGGATATCCTATGACAGTGGAGAAAATGATTGCCGGAATTTGTTTGCACCTCCTTCTTTTTTTTTTTTCCCTTTTTACATTTTCATAAAAAAAAAACTTTGAGATAAGTTCATTGTGCCAGATAATTTCCATTGTTTTTACATTTCTCTTTAATCATCTCCAGGACACATACAGAACTCAATTCATTCAGCAGCTGAGACCTGTCCAAAGCCCGCAGCCAAGGATTAAACTGAAATTGTTTGGACACATCGGCTCTGGGAAGACCACTCTTGTAGAGTCCCTAAAATGTGGGCTTATTCGCAGCTTTTTCCGGAGGCGCAGGCCTCGCCTTTCTTCCACTAATTCAATCCGGTTTCCTCCTTCACCTCTGTCTTCCAAAACCTCAGGTGAGCTTAAACCTGATTTCAGCTTATACAATATCCTGTCTAAACTATAATATGATATACATGTTAAGGGGAAACTATAATATGTATGAGGTGTGACAATGTAATTCCTGGAATGCCCGCCACATAGCACTATGGTAGTGAGTCACACAGCCATTTACATTTGAGTGTGTTATGACGTGTTCTAACTTGCACTCGCCTGAGTCGTAGACCACTTGTCTCAGTTTTTACAGGGTAGTAGAAAACATATGTGTGTGCCTTACACTATTGGTGGATTTTTTTTGCGGAAAAATTGGCAAATGTGCTAGTGAAACATTAGCTCATTAGCTGTTACAACAGGTTTCTAGTGAACATTCCATGAAGAAATCAAGTGTTTTTGAATGGCATAGGCAGTTTAGGGAGCGGCGGAAAGATTTCCACAATGACCCAAGAAGTGGGCAGCCAAAAACACAAACGATAGATGTAAACCTGGACAGAGTGCGAACCCTCGTACGCTTAGATCTAAGATTGAGTGTTCAAATGATGGCAGAAGAACTAAACATGAACAGGGAAACTGTGCGGCAGATTCTAACAGGATTTAGGAATTAGAGATTTCCGCAAAGATGGGGGGGCCTCAAATCTTGACCAAAGATCAGAATGAACGTCGTCTTGAAATTTCACCTAGTGCATAGGTAAGCAAACATTTTTTACAGTCCATTCCGAGAATTAAATTGTTACAACTCGTATGTTTTTAATGTTTGAAAGCTTTTTTTAATATTTTCTAATATTTTGTATTCATTGTAGAACATCTTATTTAAAGTATAGCTAAAGGGAAAAAAAGATTTACTGTTTGTTCTACTTTAACAAATACATTAGTAGAGGTTACTTGCATTGCAATAATAAAGCCCAGCACTGCTTTTTCTTATGGTTGACTGCCTTAGCCTTACTAAAATGTATATCAGGTCATATCTCCCAGCAGAGGAAGGGATTGTGTCCCTCATTTGCCTCATTCAGCTACATTTCTAATATGACTTCCTGCTATGTGCATCTAATCACAAAAGAGGCTGTTAACAGCATAGTAGTAAATTACAGAAAACCCAAAGTTGCTGACCCAATAACTACTTTTTGGCTATAAGTGGTATCTAAGAAACATTTATATGCAATATTATGTTTTACTTGACTATAGTAAAATAAAAAAAATCATTTCTACAAATTGTATTTTTAATTCTAAAATGATTAACCCAAAACACTATATATTACATCTAAGTAAACTATAGGTAAAATTTGAATTATATAAACGATTATTTTAGCTGTGGATCTGACCCTGTTTGAGTGTAGTCAGACGTGTGTCCATTGTGATCTCATTTGTCTGAAGTTATGTTGTAAGCTATAAAAATTGCTGCTGGCCAGCACAATAGTTGTTTGTTGGGCTGGAAAGTCACAGTCATGGTGGGAATTTAAAAAGTTCCCATGTGCCCAGTACATCTTGCCCATAAACGTCCATGCTTGGACAGACACACTACAGGAAATCCTGGCTTCCTGTATAAATCAGGTGATAAACTTCCTGTCAAATGATATGGAGAGCAGGAGCAGCTGGGTCCCATATCCAGGCTAAGTGAACTGGTTTCCCCTTCTGAGTAGGTAGGTGTCAGTAGGGAAGCTTTGATTAACGATTGCCCCCTAGCCTAGTCATTGTAAGGCATAGTGCTAATCACAATCTACACCAACTAGGATGCATACCAGGGATTATGGAGGAGGGGGTTATATATAAATAGAAGGATGAAGAAAATGGTATATATGGTCACAGTGTGAAGGTGGGGGCAGAGAATTGTCAGATTAAACCCATATTTTTAATGGCCACTACCATTTTTGAGCTTGTGAGGTATCACCTTAAAGCTTTGACTATTGCTGTCTCTGTATCCTAGATATTCAGATCTCGGGGACAAACATAAGGTGTGGGAGGATTGGTCTCTCAGCTCTGCTGCTCATCATGGGACTGATATCATTTGTTCACCAGCCAGCAACTGAGATTAGATGTTAGGATGGTGGCCATTCTGTGCAACATTCATGGCCAAAACATGGAATTCACACAAGCCAAGCCTGTATGAGTATGCGCTGTAATTGGAAATATTTAGTACCAGTCATATGAAATCAGCCAGGAAGTCCATTCTGATCATTAGTTCTTCAGATCAGTCACGCCAAGGGTGCCTGCTCAGGCAAGGGCTATCCCATAGAAATATGGCCATTGTCAACTGGAGTGGGCGATGGCCACGTCATGTCTTGCTAGCCTCATGTGCATCAATCCCCTGTGTTTAATCCACGTTTAAGCAGTGTTTTTTAAAGCCTACTAACCATCAATGCCTGTCATGACTATTACAATGGACTTGACACAGTGCAGTACACAGGAGCAGTAGTGTTGTGTAAAACACTGAGCAGCATGGCGCTTTCATGAGGCATTGCTGCTTGTGAGCCGCCACCAGTAATTTCAATGGTAGAGTGCCATAACCACCCTGTAACTGTCCCTATAGCATTTAAGGCACATTAGTGAAGCATTTATACAGTGTTATCTGGGTGCCAGGGGAGAGGAAGTGGAGGTTCCTGTACCCCAGAATGCACAGAGATATAATGGAGAACTAGGACAGAGCAGCTCCAGCCACTTACTGTTTATATAGAGCAGCCATGTGGGAGCACCATCTGCTTCTGTGCAGGGAAAATCATCAAGACAGCCAGGAATACTGACAGTGCCAGGCGGGAGCAGAGGCATTCAGCACTATTGCAAAGCTTTTTTCGGTCAGCAAAGTGTCCATGCCATCAAGAGTCAGTGGCAGCAAGTGACTGTGATAGCCATTCCATGGTCATCTTGAGCTGGATCATGCTAATGGATAAATTTACTGAAGCATTCAGAATCTGTTGGAGCTGTTCATGGTAGCCAATCAGCTTCTAACTTCAGCTTGTTCAGTTAAGCTTTTACAATAAACATGGAAGCTGATTGGTTTCTACGCAGAGCTGCACCAGATTTTGGATGCTCTAGTTTTAGTAAATCAACCCACAAGTGTCAAAGAGATCAAAGTAAACAAATCCATCTTGCACACCACAATCTAATCATGCCTCAAAGCAGATGATTTCCTTTACACCACTTCCCCTTTAAGCACTTTCCCCTAGGTCGGGTGTCGGCAACCCGCGGCTCCAGAGCCGCATGCGGCTCTTTTTCACCTTGGCTGCGGCTTCGGAGCACACTGCCCACCAGGTGACAGGCAATAGGGCAGCAATGGGCAAACTACGGCCCGCTGGACCTTTTAATCCGGCCTGCGGAGCTAGGCTCCCGCTAGGCTCCTCTCACAGTCCGCCCTGAAGACCGGTGTAGGATGAAAATCTGTCTCCTATGAGAATCTGTCCCCCTTGACGTATCTGCGCATGTGCCGGAGATCGCCGATCGGCTGCTAATGCCTGAAACTGGCACATGCGCAGATTCGTCGAGGGGGACAGATCCTCATAGGAGACAGATTTTCATGCTACACCGGAACGGCGCGGGAACACGGCGAGAGGAACGCACGGAGCAAAGGTAAGTGAATTGACAAAGGGGGGACTTGGGGACTTAATATGGGGGATGAATTAATATGGGGGATGAATTACTATGGGGGGTGAATTACTATATGGGGGATGAATTACTATAGGGGGATGAATTACTATGGGGGATGAATTACTCTATGGGGGATGAATTACTATAGGGGGGATGAATTACTATAGGGGGGATGAATTACTATAGGGGGGATGAATTACTATAGGGGGGATGAATTACTATAGGGGGGATGAATTACTATGGGGGATGAATTACTATAGGGGGGATGAATTACTATAGGGGGGATGAATTACTATATGGGGGATGAATTACTATATGGGGGATGTATTTTCAGTTTTAAAAATGTGGCTCTCAAAATAAATTTCAGTCGTGGTTTTGGCGAGATTTGGCTCAGTTGAAAAAAAAGGTTGCCCACCACTGACCTAAGGCTATGATTGTGATTATGACGATACACTGTGGCCCTGATTAACCCTTTGCTTACTGGGCCCTTAAACCCCCTTCATGACCAGAGCGCTTTTTGTAATATATGCAGTGTCGGATTTGTTTTAAATGTTGCAATGGTTTTGCGGCTCCCAGTCTTTTTTTCCCTCTCGGAAATGGGTCCAAGTGACTCTTTATGTCTTAAAGGTTGCAGACCCCTGCCCTAGGTAGACAACTTTCATGGGTGCTTAACTTGTTTTCTCAATGCTTCAAAAATGCATCTATAGGCACATTAATGAGCATTGTTTTGTCCTCCTTAATCAACACGTGTGAAAGAGCCTTAAGGGATGCATTACAGCATAGCAGCTCATGTGCAAGCTGAGATCAGCACAGGGATGATGCCCTAGGCTTGTCGGATCGCACTTTTTTTTTTTTTTCCTATTAAACTGAATTGAGATGTCAGGGGATCTCATAAAGTTCAATTGCCAGATGCACAGTGTGAGGCAGTGGATTACCTCACACCGTGTTACTGTAAGAACTTTTTCTCAGCGCACAGTACCCACTCACCACCGCAGCACAGTGGTGTGAACCAGGCACATAGGAGACGAGGCATTTTGCCTTGTGGTGGAACTGCGCTGAAAAAGCCACCCAACACAATCCCACCGCATCTGGTGTGACTATACCGTTAAGGAATTGTATTTGCATCTTTAAGCTATTAAAAGATTTTGTGGGCTTAATTAAAACTGGAGTTAAAATAGGAACCCTTTAAAATGTTTTCAGTCTCTTTTGGATTAATTGCTTTAAGTGGGTAGCACAAAACAAGCAATGAATACCTATGCTAGATGAAGGAACAGATTCCAGAGCTCTAGAGTTTCTACTCGGTGACAAATGGGGCAACTTCTACTGGAGTGATTTGTATTCTAGCACTGGTGCGTAGTAATAACAATGCATGATATAATGACTCTGACACTCAAGTCATGCTAAGTAAAGTGCTTGAGTTACAAATGAAAATGCTTTTAATCCA